AAATTCAAACTCCTCAACATGGCAAAAAAAAAAAAATTGATCTTGTTAGTGACTGTCCAGTCTTACATTTCTACATTAAAAAAAAAAAAAACTGATCTTGTTAGTGACTGTCCAGTCTTACATTTCTACATAAGCTACTCCCCACAACTATGCTCTAGCAATGCCTAGTTATTTGCAATTACCTGTATAAGCCATACTGCTTCATCTCTGTGCCTTTGCAGATGTTATCACTAACCTAAAATGACTTCCCCCACCACCTTATCTGACCAAGTTATTATTAAACAAGATCTAATCTTTTATCTCCTCTTTAGACATTCCTGATTCCCTCTTGAGCACAAAGTATGACTCCCTTCTCTGGGACAACATTATTTCCCTATATTTCACTTAACAATCTGAACTGGGATTGTTTATATAGGTCTGTTTCTTCTATTACATTGTATGTCCCCACAATCCTTAAGGATACAGACTATACTTGTACTTGATGCTACTGAAATATTAAAAACACTTACTGACATTATATGCAAATGGAGATAAACACATACTGCATTTATCTATTCAGGAACAACAGAAAAGCCACATATATTTACTCCAAAGTAATAAAAGTATACATTTAAAAATCAATCTTGAGTTTCTCAAAATGTTAAACACAGAATTACCATATGACCCACCAATTCCACTTCTAGGTATCTACGCAAGAACAATAAAAACATATGTCTACACAAAAACTTCTACACAAATGTCCATAGCAGCATTATTCATAAAAGCCAAAATAGAATCAATACAAATGTCCATCAGCTGATGAGCAGATAAACAAAATGTGGTACATCCATACAATGGAATACTACTGGCAATTAAAAAGAATGATATACTGACACATGCTACAACACTGATGAACAATGAAAACATGCTAAGCCAAAGAAGGCAGTCACAAAGGACCATTTTATTGATGATTCCATCTATAGGAAATGTCTCTAGAGTTGGCAAATCTATAGGGACAGAAATAGATTAGTGGTTGCCTAAGGCTAGAAGCCTAGGGAGAAAAGGAGAGTGACTTAAAGTTAATGGGTGTTGGCAAATCTATACAGACAGAAATTAGATTAGTGGTTGCCTAGGGCTGGAAGCCTGGAGACAAATGGAGACTGACTGTTAATGGGTATGAGGTTACTTTATGAAGTGATGAAAATGTTGTAAAAGTAACTGTGGTAATGGTTGCACAACTCTATAAATATATATACACTCAAAAAGCTCACTGAATTGTACACTTTAAATGGCTGATTTTTATAGTATGTAAATGATAGCTTAATAAAGTTGCTTTAAAAATTCAATCTTGAGTTTGGCAATGATTTTTACATGACACAAAAAGCACAACCAATGCAGAAATAGTTTATAAGTTAGATTTCATCAAAATTAAAATTTTTGCTCTATGAAAGACATTATGCAAACGAAAATTGACACTAGCAAATGCAACAAGGATGCAGAACAACAGAAACTCTCATTCATTGTTGGTGGGAATGTATAATAAAATGGTATAGCCACTTTGGAAGACAGTTTGGCAGTTTCTTAAGAAGTTAAACCTATTCTTAGCAAACAACCTAGCAATCCTACTTCTGTGTTTTTACGTATCTGCCCAAGTCAATTTAAAACTAAATTCATGGCCAGGCGCTGTGGCTCATGCCTGTAATCCCAGAACTTTGGGAGGCGGAGGCAGGCAGACCACCTGAGGTCGAGAGTTTGAGATCAGCCTGACCAACATGGAGAAACCCCGTCTCTACTAAAAATACAAAATTAGCCAGACATGGTGGTGCATGCCTGTAATCCCAGCTTCTCGGGAGGCTGAGGCAGGTGAACCGCTTGAACCTGGGAGGTGGAGGTTGCAGTGAGCCGAGATCGTGCCATTGCACTCCAGCCTGGTGACAACAGCGAAACTCCATCTCAAAAAAACAAAACAAAACAAAACAAAAAAACCTAAATTCATGCAAAACCTTGTACTCGAATATTTATTGCAGCTTTATTCATAATTGCCCCAAACAGGAAATAACAAATACGTTCTTCAACAGAGGAATGAACAAACAAACCAAGGTACATCCATTCAATAGAAGGTTGCTCTGCAATTTAGTGGAAAAAAGGAACAAGTTACTACTTCACACAACATGGACAACATGCAGGAATCTTAAATGCATTTTTAAGCCTCCCAAAGTGCTGGGATTACAGGCGAAAGCCACCGTGCCTGGCCTTCACTCTTGATAGTATCTTTGAAGCACAAATAAAAGTTTTTAATTTTGATGATGCCCAGTTTATCTATTTTCCTTTGCATTTCCCTATGAATTAAAGAATTGCTGGTCACTTTATACAAAAAACTGTCTGCTAAGGTTCTGAGAATATACGGGCTCTATAGATCAATTAATCTGGGGACTGTTAACATTTTAATACTGAATTGTCCAATCCATGAACACTGAATATCTTGTTAGGTCTTCTTTAATTTCTGTCTACAATGCTGTATAGTTTTCAGTATACAGGTTTACACATATTTTGTCAGATTTACTCCTAAATTTTTCATGTTTTTGCTTCTATTGTAAATGGCACTGTATTTGTTATAATAAATCAATTTCCAATTGCTTGCTGTTAATAAATGTATGTGCAACTGCTTTTTGGATATTAATCTTCTAATTTTCTTTTTTTTTTTTTTTTTTTTTTTGAGACGGAGTCTCGCTCTGTCACCCAGGCTGGAGTGCAGTGGCCGGATCTCAGCTCACTGCAAGCCCCGCCTCCCGGGTTCACGCCATTCTCCTGCCTCAGCCTCCCGAGTAGCTGGGACTACAGGCGCCTGCCACCTCGCCCGGCTAAGTTTTTGTATTTTTAGTAGAGACGGGGTTTCACTGTGTTAGCCAGGATGGTCTCGATCTCCTGACCTCGTGATCCGCCCGTCTCGGCCTCCCAAAGTGCTGGGATTACAGGCTTGAGCCACCGTGCCCGGCCTAATCTTCTAATTTTCAACCTTGTTTAATAAACTTACTAGTTCATGTAGCTTTTTTGCAGAATCTTGAGGATTTTCGATATGGAAAATCATGCTGTCTAAATTGAGAAAGTTTTACTTCTTCCTTCTCAATCTGTATGGCTTTTCTTTATTTTACCTGATGGCACTGTCTAGAACTTCTAAGACGATGTTAAATAAAAATGGTAAGAGAGGACAGATTTGCCTTTTCCTATCTTAGGGGAAAAGCATTTGTCTTAAACAAGTAGATAAAATCTGAACTGTAGGTTTCTTGTAGATTCCCTTTATTGGGGAAAGGAAGCTTCCTTCACTTCCTAGTTTGCAGACAGATATTTTAAAATTGTGAAGCCGGGCGCGGTGGCTCAAGCCTGTAATCCCAGCACTTTGGGAGGCTGAGACGGGCGGATCACAAGGTCAGGAGATGGAGACCATCCTGGCTAACATGGTGAAACCCCGTCTCTACTAAAAAATACAAAAAACTAGCCGGGCGAGGTGGCAGGCGCCTGTGGTCCCAGCTACTCGGGAGGCTGAGGCAGGAGAATGGCGTAAACCCGGGAGGCGGAGCTTGCAGTGAGCTGAGATCCGGCCACTGCACTCCAGCCTGGGCGACAGAGCCAGACTCAGTCTCAAAAAAAAAAAAAAAAAAAAAAAAATTGTGAATGGATATTAAATTTTATCAAATGCTTTTTCTGCATCTACTAAATTTCCTTTTTAAAGTACGTTAATATGGTAAATTAAACTAATTGATTTTTGAATTTTATACTAACTTAGTAATGCTGGCATAAACTACCCTTGGTCATGATTTTTACCTGCTACATTTGACTTCCCTAAAATTTTGTTATATTATTCTCTGCATTTTTCTCCAATTTAAAAATTAAAATAAATTGTACAGGTTTACCAGTTAAAAGTTTACTTTAGATTTATCCTTTTATTTTACTTATTTCTACTAAAGCATTAATGTTTCTATTTATAAAATATAATGCACAAGCACACTTAACATTATGAAAGCAACAAAGTAGCTAAGTTTAAGGAAGCACGTATTTCATTCTTGCTAGCCATTACTTTTAAAAAAAACATGCCCCACCCTCTGCCTTTGTACTAAGGAGTATTTACCCCTTATCTACACCATCTCTGTAAACACCAGTTACCATTAAGATACAGTCAAGCCTCTCCATCTTTTTAGTTCCTTCACCATGTTGTCAGGTAGGGAGGTAAGCAATTGTAAACATTAATAAAATTTTACTGCTATGTCCATAGGACATGATAAATAATTAAAACTTTTATACTTAAAAACTTCTCAGTTCAGAATATGGAACCATATTCAAAAACTCAAATAAAACTAAATAAATTTTTAAAAATTGAAAAACGAAAAGAACAAAATTTAAAAATTCTAATACAAGATTTCAAAGTATAGAAATGATTTTAAAAATCAAAAAGATATGACTATTTAGAAAAATAAAATCTTTGTAACAAAACACATGTAACCAAAATTGAAAGACAACACCAAAACCAATCAAACTTATATGTATCAATATTTATAGTTTAGAAACAGAAATAAATGAAGGAGGACTTTATGATCTAAATCTTATTAATTCTTTATGATTAAAAGTTTGAAGTTTTAAGTTAACCAAATTTTTAAATTATAATATCCAATCTAAAAAGGAGCCTTCAGAAAAGAATATCTGTAAAATTTAAATATAAAACAGCTTTCATGGAGAAAAATTCTCATATCTCAGCAGTCACTCAAACTCAATGTGTGGTTATTCAAACTCAATGCAGTTTTCTGAATACTTATTTTAGCTATTTTTCATCCCTTTCTCTTCAAAGTACTTTGGTTCTCCTAACAGGCATCCAAACTGCTTCTTACACACTTCCTACTCAACTCTATGTAGAAATCATTGATGAAATCACCAAAAAGTAAATAGAAGAAAAAATAAGGGCTTGAATGATCTAAGTCAAAATGTAGTTATATGAAGTCTGTCATTAACCTACACAAAAAATTACTTACATCTGCTTAAAAAGTTGTCAATATTTTTGTTTTTTCTTAAGGCAGGAAAATCCAAATCATATACCAAAGCATCCAATCCATCCTAAAGAAACAAACAAACAATGGTTAGTTTTTTTGGACCACATTATGAACAGTTTCCTTTTTTATGAAATAACAAAATATATGCTTTAATATTTAATGTCCCCTAACACATCTTGTGTACATTTAACACCCTCTACAAGATTAGATGAGAACTGGGAGAAAAGCTGTTTTCATTTCATATGTAGCTCTTTTTACCTTCTAAGTCTGGCGGGCCCAGGGGCAAGAAAATTACCACAGATTGGCTGCAAGTGATTTCAATCCATGAGCTTTTCCCCTCATAAGGACATGAAATTTTATTTTGCATTACTTCTCCTTACTATTGCATTTATCTTTATCTCACAGACATCAAAAACCTACATTTGTTACTATAAGTATTTTACAAGGTAACAGCTAAATAATAAAATGTGAGGTTTAATATAAAATAGATACCTCATAATCACAAATACAAGCTATATACATTTTTAATTATAAAAATGTATTGGATTTTCATGGGTCTTCTTTCTAGGGAAACCTAGCAGTAAAGGACACACATGAGCTTTTGCATTTTTTCTGGGTTTTTTTTTGTTTTTTTTTTTTAAGGGTCTTGCTCTGTTGGCCAGGCTGGAGTGCAGTGGTGCAATGTTGGCTCAATGCAACCTCCACTTCCTGGACTCAAGCCATCCTCCTGCCTCGGCCTCTAGAGTAGCAGGGACTACAGGCTCACACTACCATGCCTGGCTAAATTTTATCGTTTTGTGTAGAGACAGGGTTTCACCATACTGCCCAGGCTGGTCTTGAACTCCAGACCTCAAGCAATTGCTCCTGCATTAGAGTCCCAAAGTGCTGGGATTACAGGTGTGAGCCACCACGCCTGGCCGAGCTTTTGCTTTTAAGAGGATATTTAAGTATTATCTAAGCAAGTGCATGGCAGTGTGAAGGTATACTAAGCAGTACTGAAATGGGAAAGCATCTATTCAGACTATAGCCTGCCGCATGGCAGGAACTGGAAGAACATTCAGATAATCCTAAGCAATCTTCATTACAAAGTCTCACTCTTTGGTAAATGTTGTTTGTATAACTGAACAGCACTATGGGAAAGAATGGTTTTTGCATGATGCTTAATAATGTAATCAGTTCCAGATGGGTCAAAACATTAAAAAAATAAAGAACCAGGCAAAAGCATTTTAAAGAAAAAAATAGTATATTTAACATGTTGGGAGGACAAGTCACATAACCTTTCTGAGCCTCAGTTTTCTTTTTTGTAAAATGAGGGATAATGATTACAACACATAACAGATTTGTAAGAATTAAATGAGTTAATATGTGAAGTGTCTGGACCTTAACAGTCTCACTTCTCTCTCTTTTATTTCTGTTACTGACATTTGAAAGCTCTCAATGTTAGTCTCCCTATTGACAGGAATGACCTACACAGAAAAGAGACATTTTAGTCATGTGGTCATAAAACCTTAAAAGTAAATCTTAGGTCATGATGTTAAACCCTTTCCCAGTGCAGTAATCTGAAGTACTTTTGTTGTTGTTGTTACATATGGGCATCTGAGTTTTGCGTGACCAAGTATTTGATCATGTGTTTGTTAATGAAAAATGAGCTGCCTCCACTAATTACATATGGTCACTAAGTGTTTGGACCTGGCACTATACACTTTAATTCTACAATACCGCGGGATAGTCTATTACTTTTCAGCATCACCCATAAGCAAAACTTGTATGCCTTTATTAGGGAAATAAAGTTGGCAAGAATGTATTCTTCTACCTTAACCAAAGCATATACCAACTGAGGTTTCTAAGGGGAGTCAAGACACTGGGGTGGGAGAGAGGGATGCAGGCTTCCATTTTAATGCAGTGGAAAAGTTGCACAACGCAAGGAATGTTGTGCAGCTTTTCCACTATAAATGAGGCAGGAATCTTATCTTTTATTCAACACTCTGAAGTTCCATAAAATAATGCAGAATAACACTTCCACACTTCCTAAAAGTCCAAATTCTAGTATCAGGACTCAGAATGTCAACATAACATTCATCCAAGTGCAAAAACAATTCACGAGGAATGATAATCAAAGGATATACTTCCACTGGTCCTTTACTTAATTTTATGATTTAGGCATGAGCAAAACTACCCTCTACTTTCACAACATGTCCATCATATAGCTTAATCATCAGTTTAAAAATGTAGAGGAGGCCAGAAGCGGAGGTTCACTCCTGTAATCTCAGCACTTTGGGAGGCTGAGGCAGGCATACTGCTTGAGGTCAGGAGTTAAGAGACCAGCCTGGCCAAAATGGTGAAATCCCATCTCTACTAAAAAAATAAAAATTAGTCGGGCACGGTGGTGGGGGGCACCTGTAATCCCAGCTACTCGGGAGGTTGAGACAGGACAATCGCTTGAACCCGGGAGGCGGAGGTTGCGGTGAGCCAAAACCATGCCTCCAGCCTGGGTGAAAGGGCGAGACTCCATCTCAAAAAAAAAAAAAAAAATGTGGAGGAGAAAATATATAACAGAGGGGCCAATCAATGTCAAAAAATTACAGTAATTAAATTCTTTGCTACTAATAGTTGAACAAGGGTAGTAGACCAGTTGTAGCAGTTATATGTTAAAAGAAGGTAGTTACATAAGAGAAGTATTTTCACATATACACACAAAGTCAGGCATAATCAATTAAAAGTATAACATTTTACAGTGATCTTTAAAGTAAAAACACTTCACATTTCCTGAAAAGCACTGATATGGGGGTGGCGGGGAGCAGAGGGAAGAGGAGATAGAGGCCTGTTGTGTTATGCCATAACAGAGTTGAAGCAAAAGCAGAAGCAAAAGAAAATTATTCAACACTACTGCAAACTTTAGTTTTCTGGATAGATCTGAATTAACAAAAATGAGTCAGGTGTAAAACATCATTTAGGATTAAATCCATTAAAAATAACACATTATAAGGCATGAGAATTTAACGAGGAAAGGACAGTTACATTATTATAAGAAACATTCATTTTTAGGTAAATTTTCAAAATCTAAATGGTTATTATTCTAAACCTAAGGGACATATTTTTGGAGAAACACTACCCCACCCTCAAAATTCACTGAAAACTATGGCAGCAAAACTGGGGCTTCTGAAAACCAAACTACTTCTAAAATGGACTGCCCACTGGTACTAAAGAGTGCTGACAAACTCTGATAAGAGAGGATATACCATTTAAAGAAAATGCTTTTGGTATATGTAGTAAAATGTTGTTTTAACTAAGTCCCTTAGGCCAGATGTCATGGCTCACAACTGTAATCCCAGCACTTTGGGAGATCAAGACAGGAGGATCACTTGAAGCCAGGAGTTCAAGACCAGCCTAGACAGCATAGCAAGACCCTATCTCTACAAAAATAAAAGTTAAAAAATATATATATATAGCTGGGCGTGGTGCCACATGCTTGCAGTCCCAGCTACTTGAGAGGCTGAGACAGGAAGATCGCTTGAGCCCAGGAGCTTGAGGCTACAGTAATCTATGATTACGCCATTGCACCGCAGCCTGGGTAACAGAATGGGACCCTGTCTCTAAAAACCAATCAGTCGACCAATCAATCTTTCTTCACTTGATAAAGAAATAATTCATCAAAATTAAGCACAGCTATGAAAATGAAAACAGAATTTCCTTAGGGAATTTTAACAAACTGATATTAAATACAATTAATATCTGTTTAACTACTGTGACATTACTATGCCCATGTCAATGCTGCCCAGGACATTTATAGTCAATAAATAAGTAAATAATGTTCCAAATTATCTAGTACAACAAACAATGGCTCTTCCCAATCAGTTTCCAATCACAACTTTGTCCAGCCTGTTTCTCTACATGCACATAGCTGGGCTTATGCCACAGTGTGCTACCAGCCATTTCCCAAATAAGCCAGGTTCACTCTACCCTATGGAACCTCTGCACCTGCTCTATTCTCCAGTTGGAATGTGAACGTTCTTACATTAAGACTGCCTCAAAATGTCCCTTACTTTGTGCTGCCTTCCCCAGTGCCCTGAGGCAATGTTATGTGACATCCTTTGTGCTATTACAGAAATTATGTATTTAGCTGTTATACTATAATTATTTATTTCTAAATCTGCCTCCTCTTCTGCAGGAAAGCAGAAAAAGAAAATACTTCCTGTCTCTGAGAGTTCAGAGGTTAGTAGGTAGAAAAAGTAAATATAGGATATCAAGTGTTGTAAGTAGGTACTACATAAATAGAGAAAGGGCTGTTGGGCTTTACAGAGAAGATGAAATTTGAGCTGAACCTTGAAGAAAAGAATTATGAAGGAATAAGACAGAAGTGGGGCAAGGCAATCTAGAGGTGAAAAGCAAGGAGAATTCAGAGAATGAGAGTAGAATGTTCTGGACCGGGAAAGGTGAGAAGGAGACGAAGGAGAAGGAGTCAAAGCTGTGATGATGAGGTAGGGAATGTTAAAGGTATAACATACCAGGAGAAGAATTTATCTTCTGATAATTTGGAACCATAGGAATTTCTGCGGTAGGGAGAGTGGCATGACTGGTTTTTATTTTAGTAGTCTGTCAATGATAAAGATGATAAATTAAAAGCAGAAGAGATAGGTGGAGATGAAAGCGACTAGGAGAATACTGTGGTAATACAAGCATAAAAGGATAAAAGACTGAAAAACTGGGGAAACAGGAATGGGGCATTAGAAGCAAAAGAATCTGATGAATAACTGAAAGAGGAACAGGAAGGGTTGAAAATGATTATATGATCTTCAAGTTGATGTAAGTAGACAGCAACTTCATTAAACAAGGCAGATAATATAATATGGAGAGAAGACAAATATTTCAGACACACTAAATCTGAGGTCTTTTGGGATATCATTTCATGGATAACTAGATGGTAACTGGATATAAGTTTGGGTTTAACAGAGAGACTGGGACTATAATATAGATTTGGGAGTCATGAGAGCACACTTAAATCTGTGAGAACATATGCAATTATCCAACAAGAATAAACAGGGAGAGTGGAGAAAGACTCAAGAA